CCCTGCCAGCCGCTGCCCGGGAGACCTGCAGGAGAGGTGCTCAGCCCCATCCCATTTTTCACACGGATGCCTCTGCGTTGGAACTTTAATCCAGGTTCAACGAGCAGCTCCACCTGAACCCAAGGGACCCACATCATTCAATCCACCGGCCCCTCGTTACTGGGCTTCTGTCCCAGAGCAAGGAAGATCCCGGCGCAGGCAGGTACGTCTCCCGCCTGAGCCGAGGGGAGCAGAGCGGGATGCTGGCATCTCTGCAGCACCCAGCGGCCCGATCCCCCCCGCCTTCCCACAAGACGGGGACTGGGACCGACACGCTGCCATGACCTTCCCAGCAGAGCCTCCAAAAAAGCCAGAGGAGGAGCTCTGGGGACAAACTAAAGTCAGTTCCGTTATTTCTTTAGCCAGAAGATCCCCCTGCTCCGATCCCACTAGGTCTGCAACGCTCCTGCAGCTGCCGAGGCAAAAATCCCTCCGGGAAGCAAAGCACGCGCCTCCCCCCACTATTTTCTCTCATTTCGCCCCTTTTATCAGCCAAGCTGGAATGAAACTTTAAGCCCTGCTCAAACCCCGCTAGCTGCTATCTGGGTAACTCTGTCACCTTCATCTCCCCAGGTCTCTCCTGGGGGATGTTTCAATTCCAAGCCACAGCTCCGGCTGACACAAGGTGCTGATTCTTAATTAGCAGCCGCTGACCTTGGCTTTGCTTGATTCTCTTTCCTGCCACTTTCCCAACATACTAATTATCTCAGGAACACTGAGTTTTACAGCTTCTCTCAGCCAAGTGTTCGCTTTTCCGCCCTCCTGTTGGCCGAGGACTGGCCGCGGCAGGACACGGGGCCGGGCTACGATGCACACCCCAACTGCCAGCCAAGGCTGCCGGGCGGTGGAAACCCAGGGGCCAAGTTCTAGCCAGCGATAATGTGAATTTTGATGATTTTAGCCGATCTACAGAATCCATTAGAATTTAAAATGAGGCAAAATTCCACTGTGGCACTCAACACAAAGCCGGAGAAGATCTCCCTGAAACCTCTGCTGTGGTCGTCATTCCCTGCGGAGCACCGGCGGCTCGACAGCTGAGGAAATGACCCCTTGTCCCCAAAGCGGGAAGGAAAGCTGCTGAAACCCCACGGAGCTCGGGGACCGCGCGGCACCCAAAGCCGGGGCGCAGCGTGGCAGAATCCGGCTTTGTCACTGAGCAGGGGATGGAGGGGAGAGCCGGGACACCCCGCAGCGTCCCCAGGCCAGGGCTTCTCGCCGGCCGCAGCAGGTCCAGCCTGCCCAGGCTGCGCAGGCACCCGGCTGTACCAACCGGCCCCCCCAGGGATCAAACCCCCCACAGCCAGCGCCCCTGAGCGAGCTCCTCGGCAGAGACCGCTCTCGGCAGCCCAGCGGAGCTCTGCCCGCCCGTGGGTCAGTTCCCATGACATCCCGCGACTTCTGTCCCAGGGCCATCACAGCCCCTGCCTTCCCCCCGCCCGACAGACGCCACATCGGCTCGCGATCACACGTCTGCTGGCTCTGCCGGCAGCCAGCACTGGGAAGACGCAAATGGAATGCAAATCCTTGTCGAATCCCTCCGGGGGCCTCACTCACCCACACACAAGGCTCTGAATAAAATGCAATAACTAAAGCCAATAAAACTCCCTGTTTCTGAGCAGCAGAGATCAGCAGGGGGTTGTTTTTAGTTAGGGCCCCTGGCAATGGAAGAAAATAAGATGCTTTATTTCATTACATCGGAGTCGAGAGGGGAAGGAAAAGGTCCACAGTAAAAACTCGGGGCTGCGGCAGCGTTCTTCAGCCTTGCTCCTGTGTTCATGCTAAGGACGCTCGCTTCAGACTGGGCACAGCTGAACCTGCGCAACTCCAGTCACCGCGCAGCCGCCGACGAAGAAGAGCAACTCGCAAATAAATAAATTCAGAGCGTGACAGTGCAAGGTTGCACTGGTTTCCAGCGCTTCTCAAACCAACCAAGCACGAGCCCACAGCAGCGTGTGCCACTCTAAGGCAGCTCCTCCAGCACCCTGGAAACGCACGCAGGGCTTTCGCTGCCGGAGCACAGCGCGGTCCCCATGGTCCTCGGGGCTCAGACTCGCCACCACGAAGGACTCACAGGTCACAGCCTCCCCTCCGCAGCTCATCTGCCCGCGGCCTCAGGCACAGCACCCTCCGGATGCGCCCGCCCTGCCTGGTCCACGCGCCTCTGGCCCTCAGATGTCTGATCCCGAGTCACCTGCACCGTACCCTAAAAACATTCCCATTTTGCCGGCGTCTTCATCCGCTGAGCTTCAGACGCGGCTTCCCCTGCCCCGCCCGCCGGGAATCTACCCCCA